AAAAAAAAAAAAAAAAAAAAAAAAAAAAGAAGGATGCTTGTAGGCTCGAACTTAGTGAAGAAACACGCACACTGGCGACATGAACCACGGCATCGACGTCTCTGACGGCTTCGGCGAAGTCACCGCCTTCCGCAAAGTCTGCCACCTGCACAAAGTCGAGCTTCGACGCGTACTGCGGTCGGGACTGCATCATGAGATGGCCCTTGGCCAAAGATCGCGTGGCACCCCTGACGCGAAGCCCTCTGGACAAGAGGACATCGACGATATGGGCGCCAATGAAGCCTGTGGCCCCCGTGACGAGAATGTACTGCCTGGGCTAGGTTAGTCGTGGGCTGCAGCAATGAGGGCAGGGGGCATGGTACGGTGGTGTGGCCATGATGATTTTATTCAATGAATGATGACTTTGAGACCAGCACGAGGTGATGCCATATTGTAAATAGGTACCTACCTTCACTGATGACTTGGAGAGTGCAGCATCATGTGTGCTGCGGGGCGGAGCTCGCTGCGGGGCAACTACAGGCGATGCGGGGGAGGAAGACGATGGAAGACCAAATCATCTTGGCAGCAGCACACATCATCGAGTGAATGTATCAATGTCTATGTTTGAGGTAAAGCTAGTAGGAAGCCAAGCTTCCCTTACAACACGATGTTTCTGTTCTGGGAACTTCAAGGGGGAGGAGGAACCCTTCATAGATGCACGAGCCTTGGTCATGACTGAGCTTACCACCTCCTTAAAGTTATTATCTACCTTGCCTCTTCCCAACCTTAAGATGGCTGGCTTCACTGAAGCAGAGGTTAACTGAAGTAGAGGTAGATAGATAGGTACTATTCAGGATGTGGACTATTTCCCTCTTTGTTTACCTGTTGACAGCGACGCGTCAGGGCGAATGCGCTAGATAGAGTGACACAGCAGTCGCCATCTAACGTCGCTCCTGCCTTTCTTTGCAAGGGCGGCTGCGAGACACATCGTTCGTGCCTGCTTTGCAACGATGTATGCCACGCCCCCTCACACCTTCCTGCATCACCACACACGAAGCGTCACGGCCGACTGAGGTGGTTTGATCAAAATCTGATTGATCTTGTCTATTCGATCAACAGAGAATTCAGTCCCACCCAATTCATCACATGGCGCCCCCTCCGTTCGGCTGGGCTTCCCTGCCGACGGAGATCAAGCTCATCATCTGGCAATACTGTATCGGCACCAAGCTCCGTCTCACCAGACGAAAGATCCTTTTCGAGCTACACGATCTTGTTCGTCACCACCTTTCTGCTGAAGCCTCGCCCCCACAGCAAAGCCCCAACGTCAGCGACGGGGCTGCAGTGTATGGATGCTTCTGCCCTGGTGGAGGCGACACGATGACCGACAAGAAGATGCTCGGTATTGTCACCAGTGTACGCAACCCCGTGTCCGACAGCTTTTCCGACCTTGACTACACGCCGGATCCCACGAGCGGTTCGACGACAATAAGCACACAACTTCCCTTCAATCGTCAAGCCCAGCTCCATGTCGGCGAATATCACGCCAAGCTCCAGCCCTTTGTGACGAGTTCGTCGTCCGATGTGTTCAGAAGAGACGCAACTCAACGATTCTCGTCGTAGTGCCATGGCAGCAAACCAGTCAGAGGCCTCACCGAACGATCCTCGGTGGACAAAGGCGGCCCTCGGTGACGCAAGCGAAGAGGGTCGGCTTGTGGGGCCGATGACGGCACGCAGCCCACGCTGCCCCGCGTCGCGTCGCCCAGAAGGAAGTCGGACCAAACTTCAAATACCAAATTACCCCTCAACGCCAGTCACACTATACTACCTGCCTACCTTCAGGTACTTATTGCTTGCTTCTCACCCCACACAAGATACCCATCACCGCGACCCCTACACACATCTCACAATGGCGCCCGACCTCCAGTCCAGCAACATCGCCTTCATCGGCGGCGGCAACATGGCGGCCGCCATCATCGGTGGTCTCCTGGCCAAGTCCATCTCGAAGCAGCACATCACCGTCGCCGAGCCCTGGGAGGTCAACCGCGACAAGATGGCCGCCCTCGGCGTCAACACGACGACGTCCAACGCCGACGCCTTTGCCGACGCCGACATTGCCCTGCTCGCCGTCAAGCCCCAGGTCGCCAAGGGCGTGTGTGAGGAGCTCGCCGCCGCCGTCGCCGGCCGCGACCGCCTGCCCGTTGTCGTGTCCATCGCCGCCGGCATCACCCTCGACGCCCTGCAGAAGTGGCTCACGCTGCCCGACGGCAGGGTGCCCCACGTGGTGCGCGTCATGCCCAACACGCCCGCGCTCGTCGGCGAGGGCGCCTCGGGCCTCTTCGCCGGGAGCGACGTCACCGAGGACGAGAGGCAACTGACCGAGTCGCTCATGGCGAGCGTCAGCAAGGCGACCGAGTGGGTGGACAAGGAGGAGCTCATTGACGTCGTTACCGGTCTCTCTGGTGAGTCACCCTTTTCGTCTCCCACCTAGGCAAAAATTCATGTCCTGGACCGCACGCTGACCATCGCAGGCTCCGGCCCCGCCTACTTCTTCGCCATGGTCGAGCACCTCATCGCCAGCGCCGTCGGTCTCGGCCTGTCCCCCGAGCAGGCCAAGCGCCTCGCCGCCCAGACGTGCCTTGGCGCCGGCAAGATGCTCGTCGAGTCCCCCGAGGCGCCGAGCCAGCTGCGCAAGAACGTCACGAGCCCGAACGGCACCACGCACGCCGGTCTGCAGAGCTTCGAGGCCTCGGGTTTTGCCGATGTCGTCGACAAGGCCGTCAAGGCTGCGACGGCGCGAGGCGAGGAGCTCGGCAAGACGCTGGGCAACCAGTGAGCTGGCGTGGTTGGGGTTGTGTGTGTTCACTGTAGACGATGTAGAAAAAGCAAAATAGACGATACGACAACCATACTGTGGGACTATCTTGTGTGTGCCGGAGGACGATTGACAGGGTCGAGAGGACGCGCGAGATCGCTCGAGCTACCCAGACATGTTTCACGTGGTGAACGCCGAGAGGGATCGAATGCTCTGTTTGTTACACGAGACACCAGAGGAACTAGGGCATCCTGGGCTGTGTCTACGTAGCGTAGCATACAGAATCTGACCTCGATCAATTCAGCACACGCTCATGGTCAGCCACACTTTCATTTCACGGCTTACCCGATACACCATTATCTCCAGCGCCCTGCCTGCCCCTTATTCAGCCTTGAGCGCTTTCGCCGACTGGATACTATGCATCCGACTGCCATTGTTCACATGCCAGAAAGCTCAGAGGTGGTTTTCACATCGATCAGAAATCTGCATGTCAGCACAATGCAGAGTGCAGTGCAGGAGAGAGGCCGCCCCACGATCAGGACTGCGGCTGAGGATACATGGGCCAGTGTCACCAAATGTGGTGGCGTCTCACCACGTCTCCAAGGCTCAGCTACAACGCCGCCCTTGTCCTGAGCTGACCGCTCTAGGTTTCAGTCGGCTCGGTGCCTATTGGCACGCATTGCGCCGCAGTCGTTCTTGTCGTGCTCTGGCGTCGTCTGTTGTCAGCCAGCGACCTCAGCCCTGTGTGTTGAAGGTTTGTTGCTTGCAAGACCGATGATATGCATGTGATTATACAGGTCATCACCTGGTGCACGCTTGGTCTGCGGAATGCGACCAAAGTGTTCGATGCTGCGGGCATATGAAACAGCTCGTCCGGCAAGAAGGCTGCCGCTGAGGACCAGCTTCGCTCATGTCTACACCTTTCAAGCGCCCTTGCCAGTTGCTACGCGTTCAACAATGTCTCTGCTAGCTCAAGGTATCGTCGGCGGGATCGTGGGCATCACCACGACATCGGCCATCATCAGCCTCAGGGTTGCCACAAACATCTTTCTCGCCGCGAGCGACACGGCCATTGTCGACACCCTCCTCCTGCTGATCCATCGATCTCTCGAAGCCCTCACTCAGAGCTTGAGCGGAGCAGCCTTGATATGGAGGGGCATCTTCACCAACGGCACGAATGACACGAGCGTTCACTTTATCCTCAACCACCTGTCTGAGCTCTTCACCTTTCTCTACGACATGTTCAAGCCCGCCAACGTCATCCCGCGGTTCCCCATTGGCTTCTTCGCCAACGGCCAGGACGACGCGAGCACCGACAACCCCTATAACGAACTCGACCTCCGCCGCGAGGAGAACCGCCGAGCCTGCATCTATCAGATCCAGCGCGTCGCCCTGACCCTGACCTCCATCCTCAAAATGGGCCGCGGGCCGGTCCCGCGCGGCGGCCTCGGTGACCTGCAGATGAACGCTCGCCTCCGCAGCGACTTTGACAAGGCCAACAACCCGCCACCTCCGACCTACGACGCCCGCCTCGAGCACGGGCAGAAACCCATCTACCCCGACGAGCGGTGGCTCTTCATCAACGGCATCGCAAACGAGTTCGTCTGGTTCCAGCGCTCGTGCGACAAGCTCCGCGACACGTTCCGCCGCGACGTCCGCGGCGTCTTCAACCGGAGCGACGGCTTCCTCTGGGACCTCATCGAGTGCTGCGGCGAGCGCAGCGCCGCCGCGGCCGAGGCCAACGAGATCATCGACCGCACGCAGAGCAGCAGGGCCGCGCAGGACGTCCTCGCCCGCGAGCTCGCCGCCGCGCTGTGGCCCGCCGACGGCGCCAGGCCGCCCGCCAAGGTCGTCATGGTGGCGCACTCGCAGGGCTGCCTGATCCTGCGGCTCGCTCTGCACAAGCTCATCCGGGACAGCGCGGGCCAGGCGCAGAAGCGGAGCGCCATGGCCGAGCGCCTGCACGTGTTCACGTTTGGGAACCCGAGCGTCGACTGGAGGGTCATGGACGGCGAGGTGCGCCCGCTGAGCGGCTATGCCCGGGTGACGGAGCACTTTGCGCACCGCGTCGACTTTGTGGCCATGCTGGGGTGCGTGACGCAGGCCTCCGGGCCTGCGTCTGGGTATGCCGGCGCGCCGGTCTTCTTCAGCAACGGGGGGCGCGGCCACTTATTTGGGGCGCATTATCCGCTGGGTGCTGCGTCGTATGTCGACGGAGACAAATCGAAGCTGCTCAAGGCTGCGGCGGGAAGGCCTCTGGCCTGACGAAATGATGAACCCACCCAGTGTAGCATGACGGAGGGTGAGAAAGGCGGATGGGATTGCGATGAACAAGGATCGCCCGCGAAGAGTAGACCCACGACAAATCCCGGATCAGTTATTGTATGAATGAAACGAAAATAGATCAGGCAATGTATCTTATGGAATACTTGTTCATTGCCAATCGTCCCAGCTCTGCCGGAACCTCTTGTGACCTGCCTGGGAGAGAGGTATCGTCGGAAGCGGATTCCGATGTGGGCTTCTCGGCCCGGAGCCGGCCGGCGGATTGTTCGCTGAACAAGCGCCACGCTCGCTGTGGACTGCGACAACGTCGGAAGGCTTGCTCAACACCAGTCTACATCCCGCTCTCGTTTGTTTGGCTAGCTTGCGGATTTCACCTGGTCCATATGTATGCTGCGAAGCTCACGATCGACCATCGGGGATTTGCCACCATGAAACCTGCTTGACCTCGCCTGAGAGTTCCAATAACGGGCTTACCGGCAAACACGTAAGAGTGTGGCTGACACCGACGGAAGACCGCACGAGAGCGCTGCTACAGATACGACCGACGCGGCTAACGCCTTGTGAATTCGTGGCCGGAACGGAGTCTCCCTAAGGGATTCAGGACATTGGGCTCCAGTGAGCGTTCGCGGACTCCAAAGCCATGGCGATCATCGCGAGAACACAGACTCAACAAGCCCGGATGATGGCTTGGAATATGCAGCCTCCCGTCACGATGATGACTTCCCAATGTGTGACGCCGGCAACACCCCAGTGTGGACATAGGACGCTACTTGGGATCAGTAGAGCGCATCGGGGGCAGCAAACTTGACGAATGCAGGGAGGTAGCTAGGAAAAGAATGCTCAGGAGTGTTGGCGCCCACACGAAACATGAAACAATAGATAGAGTGGGCGAGAAGTGGGCGCGACGTCGGGTCGGTGAGCTGTTCAAGCGGTTGTCACACGATGTGGCTGAGATCTTCGGACTCCGTATCAACGCTCCCATGAGTTTTCCTTGTCACGTCTAGTGAGATCGGCATGTGGCAGCCATCACCGCAGCACGAGGTGACATGTTTACAGCTGCTGATTGCGCCACGACAATCATCTGCACCTGGTCTTTCGGGTCCTCGTCTGGCCTTTCGAGGTGTCAGAAACTGTCACGAATATACTTGAGCAAATCATCGAGCTTCCAGGAATGGCACTTGACAGAAGGGACTGAACCTGTGCTACGCAGCATGTTTGGATAGCATCAAGATATCATATCACGCGAGTAGGTCATCGCTCCCAACCAAAATTGCTAGTCTGCAGCGGCTTTACCCAACCGTAAAAGCCATCACAACCAAGGTACTGAAATACTCGTAGCGCCATGTCAATTTTCTTTCTATCTAGTAGCTGCCATCTAAGCTATACCTGGTATGCATGCTCTTCACTCAAGGTATCACAACGCGCCAGCTTTCCGATATCTACCCTTTCCTATCAGACCTGGACGGGGGAGGCCTTGGCGAAGACCATCCATTCTGTCTCGAACTTCCAGTCCCGTTTGCTCTCAAGCTCACACCCGCCCTCTCCTGTGACCCTCATATTGTCGCCACCGGCGACTTTGTCGATGCCGCTCTGGATGAACCGTTTGATGTCCTCGTTTCCCATTCCAATCCTGGCGACAGGGCATGCCGAGAAAACACAAGTACCGAGCTGAATGATAGCCGTACCAAATCCTTTGTGACACCATTGAACGTCGTCGTGGGAGAAAAGCCAGTACCCGTTCCACGCTGAGTGTGCGAGGACTGACACAAGTTCGCGGCAGTCGTCGGTTCGAGCCAGCAGATCTTTTGTCTGTTTCTGGGCAGTAATGGGGTGACATCTGGTCGAGGATTTCTCGGTCGGGACATAAGTGACTCTGTCGTTGCTTTCAGCACCGCCGTCGCCGGGGACCATTTCTGATCGCATGACTGCTGCATTGACCTGTAAAGTGACCTCTTTTCCATCATTAGTTTTTAAGACATGGTCTGTCCAAGTGGTGTGGTCTTCGCGCGTTCCTAGGAGCTTGGCTTTGCTGCTGACGATGCTGCGTGCACTGTTGTCTGGTGCGGTATCGTTGCTGTTCTTTCCTTTGAGACCCCAGTCTTCTACTTCCGACTTCTCCTCGGCGTTGGGGTCTGGTTTATGCGGGTCTTCAACTTGCCACTGGGTGGGAGTCTGGGTGCGGAAACCGCTACAGTCTTGAAAGCATTCGTCGCAGTACTTGTTTCCGCGAGCCTCAATGCGTCCGTCAACGACAGAATTGCCAAGGTCAAAGGCGCGGCGGAGAATTGCTGCTCCATCACCGTTTCCGATGTATGTCTGGTCGTATACGAGGGCCTTGACTGCACAGGAGCCAGTTGATGCGAGGGTGAAGAGCTTCGGGTAGTCCTCAGCGGGATTCAGGAACCACCGTCTGTCCTCAGCATCAAAGTATTCCAAGAGAGCAGTGCAGTCAGACACAAGAGGGGATTCGGTAGATGTGTGAACGGAATCGTAAACGGAGCCTCCACAATGAGTGATGGATCCATTGGCCTTCTCAACTGTGAAATGATCGCCGTCCTCTGTGGTTGCCAGAGCAGGAACAGTGATTATGATGCTGGAACCGTTGGAGATGCGGAAAGGGAGGGCGGTCGGATCATCCACTGAACGGTTGATCTTGGTGCTGTCTGGACTCCCTACCACATCTTTGGCGCGGCCAAGCGACATGGCTGGGTGCTGGAAGCTGAAGGCCCAGGCGCGTGCGACCAAGAGGCCGACAAGAAGCTTACTGAGCATGATGGGAAATGTTGCCTTTCGTGCTTGAAAGCTCCGTTGGCAGGGTGTTTGCGTGAAACGGTTTCTTTTGCAACGCTGGACTTATGCTTTTAGGTGGTGATTGTTGGAAGGGCTCAGAGTAAGTGACTTGCAGGGTTGCAGAAAGTGATAGGCAACAGGGCATGCCTTTTTAGGGAATTGGATCGTCAGTGAATGAGGGCAACTCTAAGTGAATCATTCAACTGGGAAAGAACCCCAGTGGACAGTACAAAACTGACGAATTTAGGGAAGGAACGGGATAGCAGCGAAGAAGCCGAAGCTTATCCTGTACAGCTCAGCAACAGACCTTGGTGCTTAAGATCTCTTCTTTTATGGGTTGATGGCATTAGTCTACGCGGAGCATCTTCAAGAAAGGAACGCATGCACCAAGCCATGGCGATGGCCACGTGGACGACCTCCGTATATCATTGAGTCTGAGGTGGTAGGGTTGCTTACCATTGGCGCGGACACCATGAAGCAAACGAAGGGAGATTCCGACGTAGCGGACTCGTGCGTCGGTGTACTACGTTCCACTGCTTGAGTCCATGTCTGGCATCAACGCTGAAGTATCAAACTGCATTGATACCCGGAGCTTGTCGCACATTGTAGGTAGGTCATCCAAAAATTACCGGAAACATTGAGGTCGTAATCCAGGTGTGGACCATTTGTCCCAATGATCTCCAAAATTATGGGAATGTGCATACTTGAACGCAGCTTTTCACATGTCCCACCCAATGAGTTAAAAATATGCTGCAGGCAACAAGTCAACCTCTTGAGCGGATTAGAGTAAGGAAGCCAGGTTCAATAGTGTGCAGCGGGTATGATCCACTGCGGAGAGTTGGTCTTCTCAACAGTTGCAACCTGCCTGCCCGGCTAGCTCAATCGGTAGAGCGTGAGACTCTTAATCTCAAGGTTGGGGGTTCGAGCCCCCCGTTGGGCTCAATTCCTGACGCACCTCATCGGAGGCCTTCGCTTTTGGTGGATTCTACCTTTTGTTAGAAGCCCCATTTGCGATTCGCACCTCGCGACGCAGGAGATTTAAGCGCATCCAAGGGTTCACAACGTGGAAAGCACCTTGGGTTTTTGAGTTTGGATTACCATTTAATTCTTGTTCTCCTGACCTCTGGTTTTGCTTTGGGCGTTTGCATCTCCTTATGGGCTAGCTAGTAAGTGTTTACCAATCCAGCCTCCTCCCATGGATGGTGGATGGCGAGATGCAGCATGCCACTCAAGACGTGCTGCCATTCCGCTAGCTCCCTTTCAACTGCTCCCCGGAGAGCATGAATGATTCCAAAGCCTCTACCAAACATAGTTTCTCGAGTACTCATCCCCGACTTCGGCGCAAATGTCGCACTTCTGATGGTCGCACCGCTTGGCGGCACGATTCTTGCATCTCTCACCAGGGATGTTGCGGTCCCGACCGCAGTGGCAGCATGTCCACCGCCCCGGGTTGGGGTGGCCGCTACGGCAATTGCCGCACTTGGAGTGGGTGCACATGAGGGGAGTTGGGCACACCTGATTGTTCATGAGGACCCTCTGGTTTCTGCAGAGACAGCATTCGAAGCCCATTGTTTTGTTGATGTAGGGGTTATGATACCCGTCAATTCGGTGGTGGTCTTTTTGCTTGTCTGATCGAGAGTGGCTGTTTTTGCTTTTTTATCAATGACGTTTTATTTTGATAAATGGATTCCCTCATCGAGCAAAAACAGTCTCTCTATTTATTGCCTCCAGCCGCTGGGCAGAAAAGGACTCGAGCGGTCGACGGAGACGGTGAATGGTGTGCAAATGGCACGGGCATGACCTGGCCCTGACCATGAATTTACGTAGAAATTGCAGTTCAGAATAGTCAACAGCGTCCCTTGACGCCAATCTCTATTCATGGGCTTGGGGTGGACACGTGAATGATCTTGCCAGAAAAGTGATGATGCCGTTCACGTAGACTCGGATTCACCTATGCTCAGGAATGGCTGCGGGTATTGGTTTCTACTAACAAGCAAAGGAATACCACCCGCAGGGCAATACTAGAGGGTATGATTCTCAGGTAGAGTGACCATGAGGGTTACAGACACAAAAAATATGTGCCGTATAGCTACGGGTCAGAACACGTCGTCCTGGCGCACGTTATTCGGCTTGCTATAGCACCTTCGTCCCACAAGCAACACACATGTCTCTCTGTTGTGGGAGTGTAATCTCATCAAGCTCCCACGCACTAGTGGCCGGCTGGGAGTACAGTGAAGGCGATTTGACTTATTGCTACACGCTCGGCCATGATTATGCGCTGGGATATTGTCGAGCATGTCTTGTTCAGCAAACTGCAGCCTGGATCACTTTTCCCTAAGATTATGTCTTCAGCTGCTGGGCACCCGACAAGATGGTTCACGATGCCACAAACGTCGCGGAAACGACGGGTAGTCCCGGCCCCTGTTATCTGGGTCATGGGACAATCTTCAGCATCCTTCTCCACGGGCCTGCATAGCGCTAAGTTGAGAAAAGACCCAGAGGACCACACCACCACAGCCGCTGACGGCCGCCATTTCGGCAACCCTTACAACAAAGAACAAGCCCACATCGTCCGCCGCCTATAGCAGCATCGCGTCCACGCCGTCCCCCGAAAGTTTCCACACAATGCAGTGGGGAACTTTAAACAGCCCATCCGACGTGTCAGTAGTTGGGGCCCAGACTGGGGGGGGGGGCATCAGAAGCCAAGTGGCACAAATTCCCCTCTAACGCCTGTTGGCTAAATGAGGGGATTTTTTTCCCGCAATGTGGCAGAGTTTCGCGCGATGTGATCTCCCCGTCCGTTGTTTCGGTAATCGTTGCTTGGACCCCCGAACCTTGACGTCCGTGGAGCCGAGACCCAAATCTTGTCCCAAGCCATCGTTCTCAACGCCCTCCGAAACCCGCCATGGTCGCCGTCAACAACGACACGGCACAGTTCCGTGATGATCTACGCCGCCTGACGCCTGAGCTTCTCAGTTCTGTGCTGGACTATACGTCCATTTCCAACGTTGACGATGATGTGGCGGCGAGGAACAAGATTGTCGCGGCGGCGCAGGCCATCATTGAAGCCGCTCGCCCGCCGCAACCGCAATGGATGAACCAGTCTGCTGCGTGTGCCGAGTTTGTAGCACTGCGCCTGTTCATTGATTGGGGTGCTTTCGAAGCGATCCCTATCGAGGGCAGCATCACTTACCAGGAGCTCGCCGACAAGGTCGATGCCGAGGTTCAGCTCGTTCGTGCGTGCTTGACTCCGTCGTTTGGAGAATGGCATGATCTGACTGATAGCAGTTCGTTTTGCATGGATTATGGTGTCTACAGGACTTCTCGAACAGATCGGCGAGGATAGAGTCGCTCATACGGAAAGGTCGAGACAGATTACGCAGCATGGCCCTCTCAGGAGCATGTGGTCATTAATGTGAGTCTACCATCTATCTCATAGAGGTTGTCAGAGAGCAATAAGTTCTGACGGTCTTAGGTTTGACAACTCATTCATGGGTTCTGCGTCCATGCCTGAGTACTTCCGCATTTATGGTCGGAAAGAACCCGTAGGGCCTGCACATGTTCCGTTCACCTTCGCGCATGGCGCCCCTGATAAGGCATTCTGGGAGGTCCTCAATTCGGATCCCAAGCGCATGAGAACCTTCATGGAGGCCATGACAAACGTCGACAAACAAGTGCCCCTCATGGGCCCTCATCTTGGGCTCTACGACTTCGACTGGGTTGCGGAGGCTGCGAAGAATGTACCTTCAGACCGACCGCTGCTCGTCGACGTCGGCGGAGGCAAAGGTCACGTTATGAAGACCTTCTGCGATGGCAACACCCCTTTGACGCTCGACAGATGCGTCCTGCAGGATCTACCGCCAATCATTGAGCACAATAAGGCAGATGTCAACTCGGGACTGGGGGGAGCCACACTGATGGCGATCGACTTTCATAAAGAGCAACCAGTTCAAGGTACTTGCGCCCTGGGGGTGCGTCTCTGCGTGAGTTTAATTCGGAACTGACAGCGTTAGGTGCACTGATCTATTACATTCGACACTGCCTTCATAATTATGGTGATGAGGCCGTCATTGGCATCATGAAGCACACGGCGGCGGCTATGGCTGATGATAGCAAACTCCTCATCGCGGAGTATATCATGTCAAATCCGCCAAGCAAGTTCGCTATCTGGATGGATTTCATCATGTGCATGTCGGGTGGAAAGGAGCGCACAAAGGCAATGTGGCATGAGGTCACAACCCAGGCTGGTCTCAAGATAGTTGCTTTCCACGGATTAGACACCTCTCCCGATGGACACGCCGTCATAGAGTGCGTTAAGGCGGGTGACCCCTCACCTCCCGACAGCGCGGCTACGGCGTGAGAACGCTTGGCTTGCCTGTTAATATGATGCCATCCAAGACTCCATGTGAGCCAATCTTTTCCGTTCGTCCCATATCACATAACAGCCCACGTATAGAAAGTCCTGGACACCACGCCAGACAAAGCTCGCAAAGCCCGAACGCTACGCTGCGCTGCAGAAAGGCGGACTGGACTCCGTAGGTGCCAACGATGGGGGTATCCATTGGCTCCACGCACAGCACGAGCTAGGCCGCGCCGGCTTACACGCTTCTTGGGGCAACAAGTTCATGCATGCGATGCGCTAGTTGGCCCCTGTCTCGCCCCTCCAACCTGATCGCAACCCTGTCCTGGCAGGACACATGTGAGCCAGGCCTGCGGGACCCTCTTTATGTCGTCCTGCCACTGCGTCTTGTCTGGCCCGGTTGGTCTCTGGCGCCGGGCTTCGTTGGCTTTGGCCGCTGCTCTCGTCTAGATCTAGACTGAGTAGTGGGAAATAACCTAGATCTAAAGGGCCCAGTCCAAGGCGGCCGCCTGGCTGCCCAGAAAATGGGAGAGCGCGAGGAATCCCCCGTCCAGCCGTTCAGGGAACCCTTCCCATTCCTCCCTCCTCCATTTCCCGGCCCTCGGTCCTTTTTGTCAGGCAC